ACATTGTTGTATTATTTATTGTTTGAATTTATAAAGAGGAGGGGGAGATGAGATGCAAGGGAGTTGAGCGAAGAAGAAGAGCTTTGACATTGGTTCTTGCTGGTGTACATTGTCTTTTCCAATCTTTTCTACTTCTTCTTCTTCTTCTTATCCTCTCCATCCTCTCAAGTTCATTCATTTCCTTTTGCAGTTGGTGAACATTGTGCTGATTGGTGAATTTGTACTTCGCAATTGGTCCGGGTCATAACATGTGTGTGTGTGTGTGTGTGTGTGTGTCTGATGATGTTTGTGAATCACATATATGAAAATAGCACCGCAGGCACTCAAAACAAGGACTGACGGACTATCTGGCACCGCTTAGACCTGCTGGCTTAGACACACGAGACTGTAGAAACGAAAGCACTGTAAGAAAGCTACCATGGGGGTGCCCCTTTCGACCCCCCTTGCACCGTGACTTGGGGGGGGGGGGTAGTGGGCCGTTTCTACTCTCTCCTTACTTTCATGTAAACTTGTTTTCTGCTTGCAGGTGATGAGCAACCGGACTGATGCCCCTCAGAGTAGATGGGGCTGTTTCTTTTTGGGAAAAAAAAAGAAAAAGAAAAAAAAGAAAGCTATACAAGGAAAGCAGCGAGAAAGACGCACATCAAACTGATTGTGTGTGCGTGTGTGCGTGCGTGTGTGTGTGTGTGTGGGCGTGTGTGTGTGTGTGTGTGTGTGTGTGTGGCTGTGTGTGTGTGGCTGTGTGTGTGTGTGTGTGTCCCCCTTCTGCATCAACGGCAAACGTTTAGGAAGTGACACAACAGGAAGAAAAGAAGAAAACAAGAACAACAAGAACAACAACAAGAACAATAACGTCAAGACTGAGTGATGGCATGCAGAGCAACACTACTTGCATGATATTCTGATTCAATGTTTGTTAACTTTGGGCCCTTCTGATCACATGCAGAGCAACACTACTTGCATGATATTCTGATTCAATGTTTGTTAACTTTGTATCAATGTTGTTTCTTTCCGAGGTTGGTTCTTGATTGATATCCAGTGAACCAGTGTGTTCGTCAATCAAGTTGGCTAAGATGGCTTGACAGGAGGGCTAACATGAGGGTAAAATAATGGATCAAGGACACAAGAGAACCCAGTGTGTGTAGCCATTTGATTCTCATTATGTGATCCAGCTAAGTAAATGAAGAGGAGGAATTATTGGCAACAAGTGTAGCTGCAGATCGCATGCTGTATCTCACCTTCCCAGTTGATTGTGCATTCTACTCCAGGCAATTCATGCAATGTCCAAGATTGATGGCATCAGTGAAACACTTTTGATTGTTAGTCATGATGGCTGGTATGAAGACATGAACAGGATCGTCCGAAGCATTCGATTTTGTCAGGTGAGATGACATTGTGTGATGTTTTTTTCCAGAAAACAGTATGCACCCACAGCTCAAGTCCCATCTCAGCTTACCATGGAAACAGATAGCAATCTCACACTGCCTTCCCCGAGCTACGGAAGGAGAGGTCAACCATATAGATATCGTCAAACAGAGCTGGCCGGTAAACCACAGACAGAGAGGGAGAAGATTTCCATCTGGTGTGGGTGAGTGATAGTCTGCTTTGATTTTTTTTCGTCACAGGTATTGAGGGCAGTGGTTGGTGGTCCCCACCACCTCAAGGTATCAGTTATCGGGCAGTCTTTGACGCTTAACCACAGCAGGGGGTTACGGTGGATTATCACTTACAGTGTAATCAGTTAGGGGATTCTGCAGACTGTTGAGGGTTCAGCCTCCTGATGAGTTGGCGAAACTCCGACGAAACAGCTTGTCACTAGCTCTCTGCTTTTGTAGATGATGTGGCGAGCGTCGGGCCTGTACTAGCAGGCCTGTACTAGAACGCTCAGATGACTTACTATTACGTTACGAATCTTTACGAGTATATAGTCTCTGTGCTCCATTTGCAATGTGTTAGGCATCGCCGTAGTCTATTCAGATGCTGAGTCCAGAGTTGGACGGAGTCGCTTATACTCGTTTTGAAGATAACACTTTAGTGTTGAAAGGCCATCTCTCATTTCTCAATCACAAGAGGTGAAGATAAAAGTCAAAAAATCATCCTGAGTTTCAAATATGAGCCTCGTAATCTCGCTGTGTGCCGGAACACCTCGGAAGGTACGAAGTACCAAGTCCTTCTTCGCGTAGATTTCTAAGCGAATGATCCCCGTACATTGGGACAAGTAGGTTATCAGCAGGAAACCACAAAAAAAACTTTGGCCGCTCGCCCTAGCCAGCGACGGCCGAGATGTTTGGGACCCCCTCAGAGACTTTACGCGTGCCTTAGAATGCTCTGCATTCCAACCGCGAATTCAAGTGCTCCTTCGTTTAAGTCGGCTTTCCTGTGAAACATCAAATTGTTTTTTTTGATCTGGAAGCGTCGGTGATCTGTGTCTATGGGGCTGACTTCTTCTCGTCCCATTGGCTTCAGGCTGTCAGGTCAGTGTCGTTTCTTTTTCTTTCTTTTGTTTCAGTCTTCAGAAAGTCATGTCGGGTCATCATTTATCATTCCCAAGAGTCGAGAAATCGTCAGGCTTCAGAAAGTCATGTCTGGTCATCGTCTATCATTCCCAAGAGTGGAGAAATTGCAAGTCCAACCCCGGACTCTGGGTCATAAGTCAAGGGTTGTTGCTCCTCTGAGAACAAAAACAGGGGAGATGATGCTGAACTCTAGCTCGGAGGATGTAGTCAATAGTGAGGTAGGATTTAAACTTTTAAACTTTTAAACAGTTCTGTAACTTCTCTCCATTAAATGCTCATTGCGAGCAGTAGGTAGAAAAGGGCTATGGATGTGTTGTTTTCGACATCCGAATTTTTGGAACCTCCGGGACGCAGATTCCCGTGAAAAGAAGAAAACAAGGACTCCAGTCACTCCTTTTTTTTTTTTTTTTTTTTTTTTT